GTTCAGTGTGTCCTAGGTGTAGAGACACACAAGTGCAGAGAACTGTAGCTACAGAATGTTCCACCAGATTATGTGATTTACCCAAAGATTTTTGCCGGCATTTTCTTGTCTTTTTCAAGTCTTTATCGAGACAGGTGGGTGTCCACCCCAAAGTGATGCATGTCATGATGACCGAGACCTGTCTCGATCAATGAGTGAGAAGACTTGAAATCGACACGATGGCTTTATGGAGCAAATCAATTATTTATTTTAATAACGGAGCATTTTCGAAATTCAAACTGACCCCTGCAACTGGACACAGATATTTTATGAGACTCCTGTTTCCCCGTATCGAGGACGAAGACGGCATCACCAAGGTTGGTCAAAAATTCTCTGTGCTACACCAAACTCCCAGTAATGGATACCAAAAATCTTTGGTTAAATAACATTATCTGGTGTAACAATCTATAGCTAAGAGAACTGGTGATCAGCAGATGATAGGAGAGGTGGTCATGATGAAATTGCCATTCCAAGGAAAAATACAGTAAGTTCAGAGAATACTTGTAAAGCTGTGGGAGGAGTGTTGTCATGATCAAACTGCCATTCAGCTCCTCAAGAATCATCTGCTTGAAATCCAGCATAATGTCAAATCCCTCGAGATGGATACAGTTCTGCTACAATGACACACACAGGCAAAGGAATTCAGTTTCTGTGTCTAGAATCCACTCAAGGAAGAGTCCCAGGCACCACACCGTATTGTCTGTATGACAAAAACAATTATATTCTATTGTTGAACCGTGCCTGCATAACATCAACATTCGGGTAGACTAGTTGAACATGCATACAGTGTGCACAGGCATAGAGATTACATTTACAACAATATCTAGCCTAATAGAAATAAATAGTATGGCAAAACCCTCAACCTTTGCTTAGTGACCAGACCGTACAAATGAACCTAGGTAGGTAGGCAGGCAAACAGTATATACCTACAGCAATGCCTATCAGGCATGCTTAAGCCAGGTGTACACGATTTTGGCACCGATCTAGCTGTCCCAGACAAGTTTTTGAGATCGGAGACAAAATCCCCATGTCGTTGCCTACTCAGGGTGCGCGGCCGTCAGCGACACTCGTTTAATGTGAGCGGTTCAGAGACGCAATCGGAGGGCTACTGATCTCGTCTTTGAGCAGTCCCATACATCCCGATATTTTCAAACGTTTGATTTTATTGGCACAAAATCTGCAATGCAAGTTGAGAACGGTGATCAGCAATTGAGAAGAAGCGAGTGAGATGAAGTTGTTTCACATCACCCAGAATGTGTAGACTCTCCAGCAGGAGCGATGACTACTTCTACGCTGAATAAAAATAAACGCAACATGTAAAGTGTTGGTCCCATGTTTCATGAGCTGAAATAAAATATCCCAGAAATGTTCCATACACACAAAAAGCTTATTTCTCTCAAATGATCTGCACAAATTTGTTTACATCCCTGTTAGTGAGAATTTCTCCATTGCCAAAATAATCCATCCACCTGACAGGTGTGGCATATCAAGAAGCTGATTCAACAGCATGATCATTACACAGGTGCCCCTTTTGCTGGGGACAATAAAAGGACACTAAAATGCAGTTGTCACACAACACAATGCCACAGATGTCTCAAGTTTTGAGGGAGCATGCAATTGGCATGCTGACTGCAAGAATGTCCACCAGAGATGTTGCCAGAGAATTTAATGTTAATTTCTCTACCATAAACCGCCTCCTCCAACATAGTTTTAGAGAATTTGGCAGTACGTCCAACCAGCCTCACAACCACAGACCACGTGTATGGCGTCGTGTGGGTGAGCGGTTTGCTAATGTCAACGTTGTGAACAGAGTGCCCCATGGTGGCGGTGGGGTTACGGTATGGGCAGGCATAAGCTACGGACAACGAACACAATTGCATTTTATCTATGGCAATTTGAATGCACAGAAATACCATGACGAGATCCTAAGGCCCATTGTGTGAGGCACATTTATTTTAAGTATCTGTGACCAACATATGCATATCTGTATTCCCAGTCATGTGAAATCCATAGATTAGGGGCTAATTAATTTATTTCAATTGACTGATTTCCTCATCTGTCGCTCTGTAAAATCTTTGAAATTGTTGCGATTATATTGTTGTTCAGTATAGTATGCGTTTGTACTTGCCTTTAAACAAAGCGTCAAATCGTTACAGCTCTGAAGTGCACAAGCAATGTTATTAAATTCAAAATGTTGGCTAGACATTTCAACTATATGGCAAGCAGGAATGTGACTGAAAACTTTCATGAGGCTGCTTTGAGCCACAGCTTTTTGTAGCTACGCAGCAGGGATTTTGGCCCACTCCTCCATACAGACCTTCTCCAGATCCTTCAGGTTTCGGGGCTGTCGCTGGGCAATACGGACTTTCAGCTCCTTCCAAAGATTTTCTATTGGGTTCAGGTCTGGAGACTGGCTAGGCCACTCCAGGACCTTGAGATGCTTCTTACGGAGCCACTCCTTAGTTGCCCTGGCTGTGTGTTTCGGGTCGTTGTCATGCTGGAAGACCCAGCCACGACCCATCTTCAATGCTCTTACTGAGGGAAGGAGGTTGTTGGCCAAGATCTCGCGATACATGGCCCCATCCATCCTCCCCTCAACACGGTGCAGTCGTCCTGTCCCCTTTGCAGAAAAGCATCACCAAAGAATGATGTTTCCACCTCCATGCTTCACGGTTGGGATGGTGTTCTTGGGGTTGTACTCATCCTTCTTCTTCCTCCAAACACGGCGGGTGGAGTTTAGACCAAAAAGCTCTATTTTTGTTTCATCAGACCACATGACCTTCTCCCATTCCTCCTCTGGATCATCCAGATGGTCATTGGCAAACTTCAGATGGGCCTGAACATGCGCTGGCTTGAGCAGGGGGACCTTGCGTGCGCTGCAGGATTTTAATCCATGACGGCGTAGTGTGTTACTAATGGTTTTCTTCGAGACTGTGGTCCCAGCTCTCTTCAGGTCATTGACCAGGTCCTGCCATGTAGTTCTGGGCTGATCCCTCACCTTCCTCATGATCACTGATGCCCCACGAGGTGAGATCTTGCATGGAGCCCCAGACCGAGGATGATTGACCGTCATCTTGAACTTCTTCCATTTTCTAATAATTGCGCCAACAGTTGTTGCCTTCTCACCAAGCTGCTTGCCTATTGTCCTGTAGCCCATCCCAGCCTTGTGCAGGTCTACAATTTTATCCCTGGTGTCCTTACACAGCTCTCTGGTCTTGGCCATTGTGGAGAGGTTGGAGTCTGTTTGATTGAGTGTGTGGACAGTTGTCTTTTATACAGGTAACGAGTTCAAACAGGTGCAGTTAATACAGGTAATGAGTGGAGAACAGGAGGGCTTCTTAAAGAAAAACTAACAGTTCTGTGAGAGCCGGAATTCTTACTGGTTGGTAGGTGATCAAATACTTATGTCATGCAATACAATGCAAATGAATTACTTAAAAATCATACAATGTGATTTTCTGGATTTTTGTTTTAGATTCCGTCTCTCACAGTTGTAGTGTACCTATGATAAAAATCACAGACCTCTACATTCTTTGTAAGTAGGAAAACCTGCAAAATCGGCAGTGTATCAAATACTTGTTCTCCCCACTGTATGGCTACCGGTAGTTGTTTAGCTAACTTATTTAGCTAGCTACCTACCTAGCTAGCAAACAGAAAAATAATTAGATTTCCCTCCCACTGTAACCCAGTAGTATGTTAGCCAGCAATACACAATATGGGTTTCAGTAGATAAACTGAAGTTAGCTAGATAGCTAGCTAGGTGGCTTGCAGGAAAAATAACTTACTTAGCTAGACATCTGCCCTCTAGGTGCTGCATCGGCTGTAGCTGAGCTTCTAACGTTTGCTAAATCCAACCTTTTGTTTTAAATCATCTTCGCTATATTCCGGTTGTAGCTAATAGATGCTCCATCGTTGAATTCGTGTTGATGAGAGGAATCACTTGACGCCATTGCGTCTGGTCAGTTCTTTCAGTTTTGCCCAAAGGATTGTTGTTAAGTGTCCACCTCCTTTTTAAAAAAGCCTGTCTTTTTCAAAAAAGCCAGCCTGCTCATATATTTAGCAATGAATCCGCTGATAGGAACATTGCTGAAAGACGTCCAATGGCTCTATTGAACAAGGACAACCGTATCTGCACCCACAAAAACTTAGTGCGATCAGTATAACAGCCTTCGCAAAATTACACAGAGCTGGACTACATGTATTTTTAGATCTGGAGCCCCAAATCAATACATTGGAAGCAGTCATAGGATGTATCATTCTGCGGGCAAAGCCCTGACCTGCCTTCATCTTGGGCAATTATGTGTGAAACACATCTCACGGTCCTAGAAATGCCTCGGACATTATGAAAACAAGCCCAGATTACCCCAGGGTGAAATTCCCCTTTAACTCCCTCTCGTCAGAAGGAAACATGTTACTGGTCTTATGGGGGCAACTTATTTAAGAGGATTCAGATAGAAATGTATTGTGCAGAAACGGTATGCTCAATGCTTCTCTGCCATGTTATTGACCAGAATCATGTCTGCTCTATATTTGTATATGTCTTTCTGTGACGCGCTGAACTTTGCACACACCTAATTTGAATAAGCGCTCTGGTCTCTTTGTTCCACACCCATCTACTATTACAGCTTCAAATCACTCTTATTACCCCTTTATAACCCATGTATTGCCCATTTATTACATGTATCAACCAACCAGGATACAGCCTCTGACCACTGTTTTGTTTTGTAGTTTTCTGCCTAATCGACTGTCGTCAATGACAGTCTCCAGCAGGCAGACGGTAAGACAAGCACCATGGCAGGTGGATGTGAAAGAAAGGAGAGGAAGAAAATAAAGGAAATGGTTTGTTAGAGAGGTCTTCTGCCCAGAGGGAGGATTATGTTGATTTGAGACTTGCCATTCTTAATTGCCCATGAGGGGATAAATAAAGTTATATTGAATTGAAGCTACTAGTACTTACGCTTTGTCACCCTGAGTGGGCCGCCTTCTGGCTGACTAGAGGGGGACAGAAACTCCCCACCTTGGATAGGCAGCAGTGGAGAGAGAAGAGAAGGAGAGCGAGAAGGGGTAGACACATGCAGACAGATAGCAGGTGTTCCGGAGGGGAGGGGAGGAGAGGAGAGAGGGATAGGACCATTGACACAATTGAAGGAGGAAGAAGAGAGCTTGTTAGTAGAAGACCGTAGTAGAAGACAGATGAGTGTCAAATTCAACAGGACAAATCAAATATGAGAACGCTTTCTCTCTATGGTTTTGACTATAGAGAGGCTGACATCATAGTGCTGACGCAGTGCCCCAATGCTCTGGAATGGAAAAAGATTTTGGCCATCTTACCTGGGGACAGTTCTAAACCAGCAACATCTGTGTTCTCTCTCTATGGTCAAAATGCTGTTGCAAAGTGCAAAGTTATAGCAAAGTGCAAAGTTCTCTCCCTCCCATCCCGGAGGACCTGGGCCCTAGGACCATGCCTCAGGACTACCTGGCCTGATGACTCCTTGCTGTCCCCAGTCCACATGGTCGTGCTGCTGCTCCAGTTTCCACTCTTCTGCCTGCGGCTATGGAACCCTGACCTGTTCACCGGACGTGCTACCTTGTCCCAGACCTGCTGTTTTCAACTCTCTCTCTACCGCACCTGCTATTTCAACCTCTAAATGACAGGCTATGAAAAGCCAAGTGACATTTACTCCTGATGTACTGACCTGTTGCAACCTCTACAACCACTGTGATTATTATTTGACCCTGCTGGTCATCTATGAACATTTGAACATCTTGGAGAAAAATCTGGCCTTAATGGCCATGTACTGTTATAATCGCCACCTGGCACAGCCAGAAGGGGACTGGCCACCCCTCAGAGCCTGGTTCCTCTAGGTTTCTTCCTAGGTTTCTGCCTTTCGAGGGAGTTTTTCCTAGCCACCGTGCTTCTGCTTGCTGTTTGGGGTTTTAGGCTGGGTTTCTGTATAGCACTTTGTGACATCTGCTGATGTAAAAAGGGCTTTATAAATACAATTTGATTGATTGATTGATTGAGGAAGCAAGCTTTGGATAAGAGCATAACAACTCAATTGAACATTTCGCCAAATTCAAATTTCCCCCAACCATAGCAAATAACCACCATCTTTGTAACTAGAACAGAGTAGCAGACGGGGCAAAGAGCAACCATGCCAGGTAGTGTCAGTCAGTCAGGGCAAAGAGAGAGAGACGGGGCCAATTAAGCAAATGGCTGAACACTAAACCGGTTCTCAAGGTAACGATAGCCCTGAGTGAGGGCATACATTTGTAATCAGTTATCTGGGACGGTAAGGCCAGACTCATCTCTCAGTCTACAGAATGAGATAACATTGTTCCCGTTTTGCACCTGCCGCAACTCAGCTTTCCAGGAATTATTGCATTATCAGTGGAGTGGAGAAGGAGTCTATTGACACTTCACACTGGTTTTGCCATCTGTGAAACTAGAGTAGCAAATGTAACATGAAAAAAAAAAAAATCAGAAAGCACTGTAGTCACAAGAGGAGAGAAGCACAATGCAAGAAAGAGAGGAGAAAGGAGAAAAGGAGAAAGGAAGGGGGAGTGATGACTCACTTCCTGAAGAGGAGGGGCGTCGCTGGTTGGTGCTTGAGGAAGGGCTGTACTGGTAGGTGGGCATTTCTGAAGGCAGCGGCGGGGGAGGAGGGAGTGCCCGGGTGGGATTGCTGATGGGGAGGGGGGGCAGGGGAGGAGGCAGAGGGAGGGCCAACTCTTCGGTGGTGCGGTTCTCTGGGCTGGGGGCGGGGCTGTCGGCTGACTCCTCCAATAACACAGAACCCTGATTGGATCATAAAGAATATAATAAAAAATGTTTAGTCCATATCCCACCAGTCAAAATATATTATAACAGGAGGAAAATGATAAGGGTTGCCTGTCCATCTTAAATATAAAGGACCCCATTTTGACAGAGCTAAAATGCAGAGATTTCAAATACTATGTACGACACTTGATTGAATTGCATACACGGTACTGTTAACTTTAAACCCAAATCAATCCCTTGCCATGGACATCTTGAAAATAACAAAATGCAGCTAAAATAGTGAATATATATTTTTATATATATTTTTGTAACATCTCCCCATTTTTGCACAGTCAAAACATCACCCATCCGGATCTTATTGTGATCTCATTCCTTGACAGCTGAGAGGAAGTTGTAATAATGGTAGGAGCCAATGAACCATATCACACCTGTCTTCGCAGAAATACATGCCAATAGACATTCTAGCAGTGCGGTGCTAGGCTGGGCCAATAACATTATTGTAGTGGGAGGAGAGGGGGAGTAATACTGTGACAGATGTATGGTAGTTGACTCTAAAATGAAGGCTCAATTAGACATTTGCTGTCTTAAATTTAAGACATAACACCCAATGGGAATAATAATGGAGTTAACATGGCATAATCTAGGGTCCTTCTGGGACGTGGGGTGGGGTGGGGGGGGATATCTGTTGCTGTGAGTGATAGCCCCCCCCACCCCTCCTCACCACCCCCCACTACAGCCTGACAGTGACACTCTCTAACACAGCTGTTACAGAGTTAATGGACTGTGACATTTAACCCCCTTCCTCCTCCTCTTTTTAGACGCGTGCCTGTCATTATGCCCCTCTTCCCCTATAATGAGGGGGGTGGGGTCATCCAGAGGCGGGTCCCACGGGGGTCCCTCTCCAACACGCGCCGGGCCCCAGCTGTCGATAATGATAAGCCGAGAGGGACGTGGGGCGCCATCTGTCCGGTCCTCGGGGACGGGTAGGGGAGTTAGGACGCCCCACGGAGGTCCTAATTGGCTCAATGTAGATTACACCAAACTGTCGATACCCATGAGATTATGGGCCGCTCCCTGGGGGGGCTGTTGACTATGCGTGCAGGACCTGATTGATACGTGTCTGTGTAAATATTTGTCTGCTCAATGTTGACCAAGAATTAGCAATTTTGCTTATTTTATTTTATTTGAGACAATATTTTTTAGGTTTAGTGAGTACAACCTTGAAACAAAACCACAAAGCCAACATGGATTATACCTGAAACAAGACATACCTTAATTACTTTTTTAAAGGTAAAGCACAGGTTTATACAAATTCAAATCTGCATTTAAAGCATTTAATTTCCCTGGTAGTGCAGTCAGTCCTGGTTAGCTTCACTTTGTAAGCTATGGAATTGTACTCAGTTTATTTGGGTCTGTGTTCTGCAGGTGAGTTTGCACAACAGGACGGAGACTCTGGCGGTGATGGAAATGAGAGTGCAGCAGTTAGTAAGTTGGCATTGGATGGCAACCAAATGGCAAACAAGGGTACACAGCGTGAGACACACAGGCAAACACTGCTGTGTGTGGTGACCATAGAAATAGCATTACTTTCTATAACAATGATATTTCTATGGCGGTGACCCAAGGCTAACGCAACACGATGGCCACAGCCAAAATACACCTAACTCTGTCTCACCCTACATAGCCACACATAGCCCCAGGTGCACAACTCCAGTCCTTGAGGGCCAAAGTGTACACTGGTTTTCCTCCTTGCCTTTTCAAATCAGAGACTAAATTATACCCCTGGCCTATCAATGACATGAAGGCATCCATTAAATGTCAGGGAACAATTCAAACAATAGCAATACTGCAGCCCTTAAGGACAGTAGTTTATTTTATGTTTGTGTTAATCTATCGTTTATAGTATACAATAGAGATGGGATCTTCATATTTTCTACAAGGGAGACCCTGCCTCGCGACAGAGTAGTGCTGCACTGTGCTGGCTTGTGAGGTGGGCCAGCAAGCCCTGGGTTGAGGTGTTGATTAAAGCCTGGGAGGGACAGAGTTCTGCTAGACTAGAGGGCAGTCACTAGGGGGTGCACTGACCGCTACAGGAGCCAGTCCTGTTTGTGCCAGCCAGTTGACTGTAGGGGGGCATGGTATGGTAGCCATCATGATGCTGTGCCGCTGACTTGACTATTACAGAATTGGTCTTGTGTATGTCACAGAACATCCAGACAAAATATAAAAAAAGTTAAGAGGAATAGCCCATGAACCCCCCCAAAACAAATGTCTCCCTCTTCTACAGTGAATACACTACGGTCCTGGAGAGAAACTGGGTGAGCAAGGCTTGTGTTCCAGCCCAGTACTATCACACCTGTTGATCAACTAATCACGGTCTTAGGTATGGACCACGATTAGTTGAACCAGGTCTATAGTGCTGGGCTGGAACAAAAGCCTGCACATCCAGTTTGCTCTGCAGGACTGGAGTTGGAGAACCCTGGTTGTCTGGTCCTGTTTACCTCCTTGTTATGCGCCATGGTTCGGCTCCCACGATGGTCGACCCCGTCGCTACCCAGGGCTTTGTAGTAGTCCCCCGTACTGGGCTGCTTGTTGAAGTTCCGAGACTTTCTGTTGGAGTCCACCCTGCGCAGCCTATCGTGGTTCTCTTCTGGAGTCAGTTGCTGGGTAGAAACATGGGAGGGGCCAATGAGCAGTGAGTAAATAAATATGTTGGGGTTTTGTCTGCGTTTGCGTGTTGTTTTTTTGGCTTGCCATTTGGGTCTTTTGAAATAGACAGTCTGGCCAAATTTGGGGTTTAGTAGCTGTGTGGAAGGAAGACTTAACTATAAAAGCTATGGTACTTCAAAAGTAGGAGTACGATTTTTTAAGTAATCAGATCGTCTTTTGTTCCATGTGATATACAGTTGCAAAGCGTAGACCACAGAACATTCACAAAATAAAAATACGTCTTCATCGCCTAACATGAAACCTATCTACCCAAAAAGGACAACATTGTGTTTTGTCGACATTTGAGGGTTAGAAAACGTTGTGTAAGAAATTGTCACCTCTAGAGGCTTTAGTGACCCGAGCAGAAGCAGCTTTAACAGCACCAGGAAAAAAAGGCTTTTCTTCTTTGCCTCTGGGTTAAAGCATCACCATTAATATTGCATAAAAGCATTTGGGGTCAAAGAAAATAAGAATTCACATGTACACAGTTCCTGTTCAAGGTAAGAAGGGTCAGAGATCAGTAACATGGCCCTCTACTGTATCTCCGGGCTGCTCACTTTCCCATTCCTAGCTCTCTAGGCCACCTGTTGAGAAGGAAGCTCAGACACCTGACAACAGTTTATCCTTAAGGACCCATGTTTCAAAGATAGCTAGGACCTTTCATGATACTGCGGTAGTCCAGGGTTGGGGACAATTCCATTTCAAATCAGTCAGTTCGGGAAGTTAAAATGTAGTGCTTTTCCGCCTACGTCTTTTTGGGGGTACAGTATTTACCTAATGCAAAATATTGCATTACAACTATTTGCATTGGGATCATTGCAACTTTGACTCTAGCAAAAGCTGGAATGCGTGGGCCTTTTCTTTCCATCTCCTCAACTCAGTTAAGTATTGCCACTTTTGGCCAGGCTTACTCAGTGTGAGTGGACAGCCTAAGTGTGTGATTGCTTAAGTTATGCTCACAAAAACACGTTAAAAAAAGTTGCACTGTACGAAATAACACACGGCACCTAAGCAGCAGTTTGCGTCAAAACAATTTATTCTTATGGGCTCTGTACTTATCACTATAGACAATTATATTTTTTTACAAGTCCACAGAGTATAACCAACCAGATACAGGATTATGCTATATTACTAAGTGACATTGCTGTTGAGTAGAAGCCATGGGGTCAACTTCCTAAATTCAGACACCCACTTTGCCTGTCAAATCGCACCAAAACAAGAGCATCACAACTGCCATTGCCATTTTCGTCGCATTCATTTCGTTTTCAAAAGGCACCGTGGCAAAAGCTAGAGAGACATTCAACAGATTCAAAAATCTAAGACTGGCAGAAATAATTGACCATGACCTCGCTCTTCCCCTTCGTATTGTCCTGTTGTTTCTTCTCTTCTCTTGTCCTTTGTGGCTTTATGGGTGTATTTGCATTGTTGACTCACGTCTGCTGTCAAAGACGAGGCCCCCAAGTAGCACTTAGAGAAGTGTGTGTGTGTGTGTGTGTGTGTGTGTGTGTGTGTGTGTGTGTGCGCCCGTGCGTGCAAACAGTGGGTAATGCATTTTTCGTCATGAATCTTGTTATGGGGCAGCTCTGCAGTGGTCACTAGCTGGCACAGCCACAAAGTCATATAATCTGATCTTAAACATAACCCTAACCACACTGCTAACCCTAATGCCTAACCCTGACAAATTAAGACCAAAAAGCTCATTTTTGTTTACAGACATTTTTACAACATAGCCAATTTGGACTTTGCAGCTGATCTATCTAAAAAGGGGAAATTGCTCAGTTCTGCCTCCAGGACAAGACCATAACCACCCTCAACCCCAACCCCTCCCACCACACTGACAGACACGGTTATCTGTGTTCATTTAGCCGTTTCGGTCTTTTGTTTTTACTTTACTATGGTCAGTGTGGTTATGCTGTGGCATACATCTAGTTTGCATGGACAACTACTAGATCAGATCTACGGTTGGTTTCTCATGGTTGCAGAAGCGATGAGCATTTAAATGTCCCATCATACATAGTAAATAATTCAATATGAAAGATGTGAGCAAGTATATTTTATAATGAACAAATATATAAACGCAACATGTAAAGTGTTGGTCCCATGTTTCATGAGCTGAAATAAATAGATCCAAGAAATGTTTCATATGCACAAAAAGCTTATTTCTCTCAAACTTTGTGCACAAATGTGTTTACATCCCTGTTAGTGAGTATTTCTCCTTTGCCAAGATTATACATCCACCTGACAGGTGTTGCATATCAAGAAGCTGATTCAACAGCATGACACAGATGCACCTTGTGCTGGGGACAATAAAAGGCCACGAAAATGTGCAGTTTTGTCACACAACACAATGCCACAGATGTCTCAAGTTTTGAGGGAGCATGCAATTGGCATGCTGACTGCAGGAATGTCCACCAAAGCTGTTGCCAGGGAATTTGATGTTCATTTCTCTACCATAAGCCGCCACTAACGTCATTTTAGAGAATTTGGCAGTACGTCCAACTGGCCTCACCACCGCAGACCATGTGTAACCACGCCAGGACCTCCACATCCGGCTTCTTCACCTGTCTGAGACTAGCCACCCGGACAGCTGATTAAACTGTGGGTTTGCACGACCAATGAATTTCTGCACAAACTGTCAGAAACCGTCTCAGGGAAGCTCATCTGCGTGCTCGTCGTCCTCACCAGGGTCTTGACCAGACTGCAGTTCGGTGTTGTAACTGACTTCAGTGGGCAAATGCTCACCTTCGATGGCCACTGGCACGCTGGAGAAGCGTGCACTTCACAGATGAATCCCGGTTTCAACTGTACCGGGCAGATGGCGTCGTGTGGGCGAGTGGTTTTCTGATGTCAACGTTGTGAACATAGTGCCCCACGGTGGAGGTGGGGTTATGGTACGGGCAGGCAATTTGAATGCACAGAGATACTGTAACGAGATCCTGAGGCCCATTGTCATGCCATTCATCCGCCGCCATCACCTCATGTTTCAGCATGATAATACATGGCCCCATTAAGGATACTGTATGTACACAATTCCTGGAAGCTGAACATGTCCCAGTTCTTCCATGGCTTGCATACTCAGACATTTGACCCATTGAGCCCGTTTGGGATGCTCTGGATCGACATGTACGGCAGCGTGTTCCAGTTCCTGCCAATATTCAGCAACTTCACACAGCCATTGAAGGGTAGGACAACATTCCACAGGCCACAATCAACAGCCTGATCAACTCTATGTGAAGGAGATGTGGCGCACTGCATGAGGCAAATGGTGGTCACACCAGATACTGACTGGTTTTCTGATCCACGCCCCTACTTTTATTTTTATTTATATATTTTTTAAGGTATCTGTGACCAATAGATGCATATCTGTATTCCCAGTCATTTGAAATCCATAGATTAGGGCCTAATGAATTCATTTCAATTGACTGATTTCCTTATATAAACTGTAACTCAGTCAAATCTTTGAAATTGTTGCATGTTGCGTTTATATTTTTGTTCAGTGTAGTCTTTCAGTGAGGGGACCATTGAATGAAAAAGCCTCCATTGAGAAACTGTTTGGGAATTTAGCCAGGACACCAGGGTTAACACCCCTACTCTTACGATAACTGAAATATAGTGACCACAGAGTAAGGACACCCGTTTAACCCTGGCGTTGCAAGTGCCATGCTCTACCACAGAGAGAGAGCACATCACCCCCTCCCCCTAACTAACAAAGCAAGTGCACATAGACACGCATGTCGGCATAAACCAAGAGATAGGCTAGCTCGCAAAACACCCTCCGCTCCCCTTTAAAACAACCAAGTCAATCACAAAAAAGCTGTGGTCACTTTCAGGCTTACCGTTTAAAATTCCCTTTCCCCTCAGTAGTCCCTTTGGTCTTGACAGATCCAACCCAGAAGCCCAGGAGGTGCACTGAGAGCAGCCGTCACCAGATCTCCTCATCCCCTTGCGCTCTACTGTGCCACTACCTGCCCCTCTCACTTTGTCCACAGGCCCTCATCAATAAGGCACATCTATTGCAACAACAGTGACATCAGCGCTGCAGGCCGCTGACCAACAACCAACCCACAGCGTGGCACATGCCCGGTTGAGCTCTTATGCAAAGTATGGAGCAGTAAAGGGTTCAGGCAGGGCAGGCACAGCACAGCCTTCATGGCTGCCCACACGCAAATCTCCCAGGGCATAAGGATTAGAATAATTCCTGCCAGCTCCATTTTGATTAGCTATGAATGGCCAGACAACACTTTGTTGACAACTAGCTACTATTACACGCTTCATTATTGTAGAGGGAGTCGATCATAAAACACTGTCAGTCATAATACATTGGGAGTTTAAATCTGGGTCTTTGAGTGGCCAATGTACACAGGACATCACCTGCCACATAACAAACAAAGATGGAATGAGGGGAGGTTGAATTCAAGCAAATCTGCACTGTGGAAACCTGTATTGCAGAAAAAAAACATACATAGCGCTAGCACTACACAAATGGACCCTCTGAGTTTGTTTGTACTTAACGTAACTTCAGTGAAGATAAGTCCAGGGGTACTGATGGGTATATAATATTAGTGATTTCCCAGGATGATGTTACCCTGCTCTGCCGTTTCTATGGCGTCCTAGGCAGATGGGGACCCTAGACACAGGGAAAAACTCTCTCCTGTGTGTGTGAGCTAGCAAGCGTGCGTCACGGGGATCGTCACCAAGGTACCGTGACAGGAGGTGAGCTCATTAAGTAGCCCCTCCCCCCTGGGCCCGACGACACACACCCAGACCATGGCAACTCCCCTCACCATGGAGACGTGCCATAGCAACAAGGTTGTTATGTTGTTACAGTATGTGAATACTGTAATACGTAAGCCTAAACCTGAATTGATGTAATCATGTTTCATACTCCATCATTCAGGGGCCACTTATGACAGAGATGTGACTTGGTAGCCAATTGTTGGCCTTTACACTAACTGTCACCTTTAAATAAATTGTGCTTTATGACAAATATAATATCTGTGGACCAGGAATAAAAAAATAATAAAAAATAAACATAAATGTGCCCGAGTCTACGTAGTGGTTAGCCCCCCAGACTCCGGACCTATACTCCTGGTGATGTGGGTATGAATCTAGTCTCAGTCCTTCCTCTCCAGCTCCCCTCTACATAGTTATTTTTTTATATATTTTTTTATCGTCCATAATATAAGCTTGGGAGGGAAGTTGTTTTGAGCTATGGAGCCCACTCACAATGTGATCAGAGTAATTACTGTAATTAACGTCAGACCTGTCACCCTGCTTATCAAGAGGTGCCAATGGGGAGGGCCGGCTCGTAATGAGGATCCTCGTTAGCGCAATAACATTGTATGGATTGGAGAATCCCTCTTCTCGTCGGCCTCCACGCTGGGAACAAGGGAAATTCTTACACTGTTACACTGACTGGCCAAGTGATTAGTGGCTGGCATGATAGAGAAAATGGCCCCCCGACTCGCTGCAACCCAAACACTGTGGTTCCTGACCCCACTAAGAATCTGTGTCACCTCGCTCCGCTAGGCGCTAAACTCTCTGGAAATGTCTTTTTAGCCCCCATTTTCAAACGCCTCGGTGGAGCAGACAATATTACAGTGCCTTCAGAAAGTACTCATACCCCTTGACTTATTCCACATTGTTGTGTTACAGCCTGAATTCAAAATTGATTAAATATATGTATTTTTTCCTCACCCATCTACACATGTTTTTTGAAATCTTTGCAAATTTATTGAAAATGAAATACAGGAATCTAATTTACATAAGTATTCACACCCCTGAGTCAATTATTTTGTGGCAAGTCTCTAAGGGCTTTGCACACCTGGATTGTACAATATTTGCCCATTATTCTTTAAAAAAATTATTCAAGCTCTGTCAAGCTGATTGTTGATCATTGCCAGACAGCCATTTTCAAGTCTTGCCATAGCCGATTTAAGTCAAAACTTTAACTAGGCCACTCAGGAACATTACATGTTGTCTTGGTAAGCAACTCCATTGTAGATTTGGCCTTGTGTTTTAGGTTAAAGGTGAATTCGTCTCCCAGTGTCTGTTGGAAAGCAGACTGAACCAAGTTTCCTCTAGGTTTTTGCCTGTGCTTATAGCTATATTCTGTTTATTTTTATCCCACAAAAACTCACTAGTCCTTGCCGATGAGAAGCATGCCACCAACATGATTTAAAATATGAAGAGTGGTACTCAGTGATATGTTGTGTTGGATTTCCCCCTATCGTAATGCTTTGTATTCAGGACAAAAAGTTAATTTCTTTGCCACTTTTTTTGCAGTATTACTTTAGTTGCTTGTTGCAAACAGGATGCATGTTTTGGAATATTTTTTTTCTGTACAGGCTTCCTTCTTTTCACTGTCATTTAGGTTAGTATTGTGGAGTAACTACAATGTTGTTGATCCATCCTCAGTTCTCATATTACAACCATTAAACTCTTTAAAATCACCATTGGCCTCATGGTGAAATCCCTGAGCAGTTTCCTTTCTCTCCGGCAACTGAGTTAGGAAGGACGCCTGTATCTTTGTAATGACTGGGTGTATTGATATACTATCCAAATCCTAATTAATAACTTCATAATGCTCAAAGGGATATTCAGTGTCTGCTTTTCTTTAGTTTTACACATTTACTAATCAGTGCCCTTCTTCGCGAGGCATTGAAAAACATCCCCTGTCTTTGTGGTTGAATCTGTGCTTGAATTTCACTACTCGATTGAAGGACCTTACAGATAACTGTATGTGTGGGGTCCAGAGATGGGGTAGTCATGCAAAAATCCTGTTAACCACTATTATTGAACATGGAATGAGTCCATGCAACTTATGTGATTTGTTAAGACCTGTGATCAAGCAGATACAGGAGATGGACAGTAATGAACTGATTTTGTACAGCCATGAAAACCTGCATTCACAATTGCCTTTGCCAATTGAAGGCTCTGAGAGTTCCCTCTCCTAATATGGGGTGGGGTAAGCTGGTCCTAGATCTGTATCTGAATTGTTGCTGAACTGTATCTGAGCTGTTTGTTCTTATGGCGGGCTAATAGTGGGGTCTGTTTGATCAACTTAGCAGTCTTATCTGAATGAATGAGCAGTGAGGAGCATTCAATCACGCAATCACACCAACTGGGTCCACTAGGCCAGGCCGTCCACCCGTTCTCCATTGGCTCCCTGTCAACCCATCCTGTGGCATCATGTGCCTGGGATATTTCTACGCTATGCTATTCCATGCTAGGATGGCATCGAAAGGCTCTGTGAGGACTTGGCCATTTGTCACCAGCACCCAGAGAAAACCAAAAGAACAGCAATTTTTAGACTGGGGGCTCAATGGCATCGAATGGTTAGGTTGAGAGGAAATCTATCTCCTTAATTCCTGGTTACAGAATGTTCTCTCAATGGACACAGAAGATGTTGTCTTCAAAAAGGCTTCTTAATTAATAGGATAGCATGTACAAGTGACTTAATAGTGTGTGTGTGTGTGTGTGTGTGTGTGTGTGTGTGTGTGTGTGTGTGTGTGTGTGTGTGTGTGTGTGTGTGTGTGTGTGTGTGTGAGAGAGATTGGGGTTAGAGTGTGTGAGACAACATGAAGCCTTTGTGTGCAAGTGAGAGCTTGACAGTGTGTGCGTTTTCATCTCTACACCAGGGATTGGTTAACATGAAAACAACAGGACTGTGTCCCTTGAGGAACCCGAGTTGTGCCCTTCTGCTTTTCACCAGTAAAGGAAGAGCGAAAGCTCACCTTCTCCTCCACATGCCTCAGGTTGCTCTTCACCTTCAGATAGATATCGGCGGAGTCCGCAGGGGGCTGTGGCGGTGGGTATCCGGGGGGAGGCAGGAGCGGTTGGGAGGGGGAGTCAGGGAGAGGGGGTGGGGGAGGCGGCTGAGCCCTCACGTCAGGGTTGAGCATGTCAATGTAGGTCTGCATGTCATTGATGTCTGACTCCGCTGGGCCTCCGCCTGCGACAAGGACACAATTGGTCAGAGGTGAGATTTCTGTCACAAAATGGATGAGGTGGTTATAGAAATAGCTAGAATTCATTGAACAGACATCACCATTCAAGTCAATGGGTGGGTGATGGGTGGACTAACGGCCATTATAGGAATTATATTTCTAAGGACATAGAATCACCCAGGTTGGGTATTGCACATTATAGCTGGTGGATGATTTCATTTCATCCACATAATTATGTAAAGTGCTTTGCACAACTGGAAAAGCGCTATAAAATCCATTATATTATGTTGTAAACACACCTTTTTCAAATAATAGTGCAGGGGTGGAACAAAAGCCTGCACACCCAGTAGCTCTCCAGGATCGCATTTGGAGACGCTTGGTCTGGAGAGCATGCAGGGGATTGATATTTGGTTGATTCACAGACAGATTTCTCCTACCTGCCACTAGAGGGAAGCACTAGTATGGAGCGCTGCTGTGGCATCACACAAAGGAATGCAAATTGTTACATGGAATTTGTTCCAGTCAGATGAGCAGTGGAAGTTCCCACAATTGTTGTTATGATAACAGTGTACACATTACGAATCAAAGATGTCATGTCATGTTTGGGGGCACACACACACTCTAAAGTTGGCTAAAGCACAAACTGTTTTTCATATCAGGCTAGGAAAATCATACAAATAGTGTATTCATAGATCCCGGCACCGATTGCCTCACCATAGCACGAAAATGACTATTTTTCCCCTGTGAAATCTGAACTAGCCAGTTCAGGAAGTTAATCGAAATAGTGTGTGTGTGTGTGTGTGTGTGTGTGTGTGTGTGTGTGTGTGTGTGTGTGTGTGTGTGTGTGTGTGTGTGTGTGTGTGTGCGTGCATGTGTGTGCGCGGGTGGTGTGCATATTTAAGTGCATCTGTGTGTGTGTGCATGTTTAAGTGCGCGTGCGCGTGTGTGTGTGTGTGTGTGTGACTGACCGGCGGGGGCTCGTGATGAGGGGGGCGAGCCGCTCCGCTTTTCTCCCGTGCTACACTGGCTGGAGCTGGCTGAGTCGTAGTTGGACAGGGTGCTGGAGGGCGAGCACATGTCGAAGTGGGCCGGTTGCTGGGCCTGCCCCGACCCCGCCAGGAGCATCGTGTTGTTGGGGGACGACAGGCCCGAGTCGGGCTGCTTGCTGTACTCCAGGTCGGCCGATGGGTCCCTGGAAAGCACACGGTGCTCCACACTCTGGATAAAGACAACCACAACGAGGGGTTAACAAAACATGGCCAACCAGGAACCTGGGGGAGAGCAACCTAACCTAGCCTGGGAGTGGGATTGAAAAGGTACATTTCCTGAAGAAAATGTGTGTGCTTGCTTGTCTTGGGGTGTGTTCAGTGAGGTCAAACATTTTGAATGTTATATATCGAAATGTAACGAATACAGTTGACACGACTTCCTATTCTACATGACGGATAATCGTATCTTACTGTATGTACAACGCACAAAAGGTTGTTATGAAACAGAGTTTTGTCTTCACAAAAGTAATTACACAACCCTTATGGAGACACCGCACGATGGTTGTGTAAACATCTTTGTGCAGACAAAAACTCTTCAATATCAGAATCAGATGTATCACAACCAGTGTCAAATGCGTTGTACAAGCTGAGTGTGTATGGGGTCTAACATTTTGTAATGTTCTGTAACATATTGTAACATTGCACCCTCCTGAACAGGTCCCAGGTCAGTAGTCAAAACAACACCATAACAAATTACAATAATTTGCGTGCCTACTCCCAGCTGGCACGAGCCACACAACTTAGAATGTTTCAACTGTAGCCACGGGAGCCAGCATGTGTCCCGATGCTCCACTAGTCGACCTGTCGCTCCACTAATGACAATTACTGCCATTTACACTCTCCTCTGCCTGGCAAGGCCCTCATGGGCAAAGCCCCACGGGGTGGCATGAGAAATAATAACACACCCACCGGGACTCCCTAAGGTATGTGAGAAACATGCCCCGCCCCTCAACCATTTCTCTCCAACTTCACTATTCACTGCCGGCTGGAAGAGGAGATTGTTGATCGAGCTTTGAGTTCAGCAATTAAAAGGGGAACTATAAGAGTGGAACAGACAGACAGCATATTATCTTTACATTCAAGCTGGAATCAGGGCTCCCCCAATGTGACAATTTTTTTTGCTGTGCGACCAGTATCTTTTATTTTGGGAACACTGTGCTACTAAAAATGACCCCCCCCCCCCCCCCCCCCAAAAAAAAAAATACCCTGTCCACAACCAGAAGAAGACGAGGACAATGTCGGATATGCTGCTACCGATCCACCACCTCAGAAAAATAAAAAGATCTACATGTTTCGAGAGGGGTGGCTTCGCGAATTCAAGTGGCTAAGGAGGGACAAAACTAGCAACACAATGTTCTGCGAGTACTGTCGGAAGTGTGGAGTAAAAGCAGCAGGGAAGACTTATTTTGCTACTGGGTCAACCTAAAACACAAGTCATTGCTAAAACATAACATAAGCTAAAAGCACATCAAGTGCCGGGACAAGTGCATTGGGGGAAGGGGGCAGGAACAACATCACTACATCTACTACCAGGCAGCCATATTTGACAGGCAACAGGTGGCAGCCCAAGCCGGTCAACAAGCAGAGCTAACTCAGCTACAGATTAAATTGAACACCGTTTACTGTATTGCCAAAGAGGAGATGGCTTTTACCAAATTCAGACCCATGTTACTCATCCAGAAAAATTATGGATTACAAATCAACCCAACATATGGAAATGAGGTGTCCTGCGCAAACAGTTTTCAGTTGTACTTTTAAATACAAAAGGTTGTTTAATTCACCTGTATAAATATGTTTGCTGTTGCACTTTTCAATACAATTATTAAAAGTTGTTTTTATTCTAATGTCTTGCCCACTCACTAGTGAGTTCTACATCAAGGTAACAACTGATGACAGTCATTTGTAATAAAAAAAATAAAAATAAAAGTATATACAGTGGGGGAAAAAAGTATTTAGTCAGCCACCAATTGTGCAAGTTCTCCCACTTAAAAAGATGAGAGAGGCCTGTAATTTTCATCATAGGTACACGTCAACTATGACAGACAAAATGAGAAGAAAAAAATCCAGACAATCACATTGTAGTATTTTTTATGAATTTATTTGCATATTATGGTGGAAAATAAGTATTTGGTCAACAACAAAAGTTTCTCAATACTTTGTTATATACCCTTTGTTGGCAATGACACAGGTCAAACGTTTTCTGTAAGTCTTCACAAGGTTTTCACACACTGTTGCTGGTATTTTGGCCCATTCCTCCATGCAGATCTCCTCTAGAGCAGTGATGTTTTGGGGCTGTCGCTGGGCAACATGGACTTTCAACTCCCTCCAAAGATGTTCTATGGGGTTGAGATCTGGAGACTGGCTAGGCCACTCCAGGACCTTGAAATGCTTCTTACGAAGCCACTCCTTCGTTGCCCGGGCGGTGTGTTTGGGATCATTGTCATGCTGAAAGACCCAGCCACGTTTCATCTTCAATGCCCTTGCTGATGGAAGGAGGTTTTCACTCAAAATCTCACGATACATGGCCCCATTCATTCTTTCCTTTACACGGATCAGTCGTCCTGGTCCCTTTGCAGAAAAACAGCCCCAAAGCATGATGTGTCCACCCCCATGCTTCACAGTAGGTATGGTGTTCTTTGGATGCAACTCAGCATTCTTTGTCCTGCAAACACGACGAGTTGAGTTTTTACCAAAAAGTTATATTTTGGTTTCATCTGACCATATGACATTCTCCCAATCCTCTTCTGGATCATCCAAATGCACTCTAGCAAACTTCAGACGGGCCTGGACATGTACTGGCTTAAGCAGGGGGACACGTCTGGCACTGCAGGATTTGAGTCCCTGGCGGCGTAGTGTGTTACTGATGGTAGGCTTTGTTACTTTGGTCCCAGCTCTCTGCAGGTCATTCTTGCGTGGAGCCCCAGATCGAGGGAGATTATCAGTGGTCTTGTATGTCTTCCATTTCCTAATAATTGCTCCCACAGTTGATTTCTTCAAACCAAGCTGCTTACCTATTGCAGATTCAGTCTTCCCAGCCTGGTGCAGGTCTACAATTTTGTTTCTGGTGTCCTTTGACAGCTCTTTGGTCTTGGCCATAGTGGAGTTTGGAGTGTGACTGTTTGAGGTTGTGGACAGGCGTCTTTTATACTGATAACAAGTTCAAACAGGTGCCATTAATACAGGTAACGAGTGGAGGACAGAGGAGCCTCTTAAAGAAGAAGATACAGGTCTGTGAGAGCCAGAAATCTTGCTTGTTTGTAGGTGACTAAATACTTATTTTCCACCAAAATTTGCAAATAAATTCATTAAAAATCCTACAATGTGATTTTCTGGATTTCTTTTCCTCCATTTGTCAGTCATAGTTGACGTGTACCTATGATGAAAATTACAGGCCTCTCATCTTTTTAAGTGGGAGAACTTGCACAATTGGTGGCTGACTAAATCCTTTTTTCCCCCACTGTATTTCTTTCTGGTGCTCCATACTTTTTAAATGTATGAGCACCAGTGCTACCAATGAAAAGTTAATATCGTGCCCTGGCTGGAATATACTTAATCTTAGTCTCATCTAGGTTTCCCCCTACGCATTTTACCTGGGTGGGTTGTATTCATTAGGCACCAGAGGAAGAAAACTGACTACTTGAAGTTGTCCAATAAGAAACTCTAATTTTCGTTTTCCGTATAATTTTTTTTCACTACAGTGCATCCTATTGAATGAATCATGTGTCTCACCATGTTCTCAACAGTGCGCAGGTACTTGGCACACTGGGCGTGCCCGTTGTACTCTGCCAGGTCGGCCGACGAGAAGCCGTCCTGGTCCCGTATGCCCAGGTCCACCCCATTCACCACCAGGATCTGACAGCACTGGGAGAGAGAGAGAAAGAGAGGGGAGGGAGAGAAAGAAAAAAATGTTATTGTCCGTTCTTTTTAGGAGTAAGCAGATTGTCAAACCTTCATTCCGACCTTTTGACATCCCGGGATATTCGGTAATACCGGCACTGCACACAAGGGGCGCTATTTTCAAACCCCACTGAGCCTCTGAATCCGAAGGTTAGCAATGCTAACAAGTACATGTTAAATCCCATAGTGAATGCTAGCTACATGCTAACGAGCGCATTGTGAACATTTTATGCAGTCTCTGACAAACTATTTGCAGGACAGACATCCCAGCTCAAAGTTATACAAGTAACAAAAAAAATGCTACTCAGTTTGCCACAAAATAAATATTAGACAGCAAGGCTCTTGATCCAGGGCGGGATTCTCTGCTGTCACCAAAAGAAGCTTGATTTTGCTAGAAGCTAACCACTTAGCTAGATAACTAGGTACTACATTTGCAAACCAAATGCACAACTGCAGAGCATTTAGCACATTTTACACGGTCAACTTAATAGTCATAAGATATCTAGCTGGCAAACATTTAGTTGTGAATTCAATACTGTAACTAGATATCCTGGCGTGCTGCACAACAGTGAGTGACTCACAAGGATCCAGTCTCTCGTTGATGTGTGCTTGTAAACAAACACCATGTGATTGGGGACTACCGGTAAGCTTCATAATGAAAACTAATGTGGCAGGTGAAATTAATAACGCAATCTGCTTTATCTCCTGACGTTTTGCACAAGTTGACCGCAGATATTTACTTAAAAAGTAGCTACAAATATTCAAATGTAATAAACATCAAATATATAGTTTCAACGGTACTGACGGAATTGAAAAAACATCCCGTGGCCATTTCCAAATACCCCGGTATACCGCCCAAGCCTTCGGCTTACAGGTATATTTTTCTGGGTGATTTAAATACTGACTGGCTTTCATCAAGTTGCCCACTCAAGAAAAAGCTTCAAAACTGTAACCAGTGCCTAAAACCTGGTTCAGGTTATCAGTCAACCTACCAGGGTACTTACAGACAGCACAGGAATGAAATCGTCAACATATATATACACCACATCTTTACTAATGCTGCAGAAATGTGCTTTAAAGCAGTATCCAAATCCATCAGATGTAGTGATCACAATATAGTAGCCATTACTAGGAAAACCAAAGTTCCAAAGGCTGGGCCTAATATAGTGTATAAGAGGTCATACAATAAGTTTTGTAGTGATTGCTATGTTGTTGATGTAAATAATGTTTGTTGGTCGGTGGTGTGTAATGAGGAGCAACCCAGAGGCTGCACTTGACACATTTATGAAATTGCTTATTCCAGTTACTAATAATCATGCACCCATCAACAATGACAAGCCACCTGCGTCTGACAACTTGGATGGAAAATTACTGAGGATAATAGCGGACGATATTGCCACTCCTATTTGCCATATCTTCAATCTAAGCCTACTAGAAAGTGTGTGCCCACAGGCCTGGAGGGAAGCAAACGTAATTCCACTACCCAAGAATAGTAAAGCCCCCTTTACTGGCTCAAATAGCTGACCAATCAGCCTGTTACCAACCCATAGTAAACTTTTGGAAAAAATGGTGTTTGACCAGATACAATACTATTTTACTGTAAACAAATTGACAGACTTTCAGCACGCTTATAGGGAAGGACATTCAACAAGCACGACACTTACACAAAGAGAAATTGATGATAAAAAGATTGTGGGAGCTGTTTTGTTAGACTTCAGTGCGGCTTTTGACATTATCGATCATGGTCTGCTGCTGGAAAAAGGTGTGTTATGGCTTTCCACCCCCTGCTATATTGAGGATAAAGAGTTACCTGTTTAACAGAACACAGAGGGTGTTCTTTAATGGAAGCCTCTCCAACATAATCCAGGTAGAATCAGGTATTCCCCAGGGCAGCTGTCTAGGCCCTTTACATTTCTCAATCTTTACTAATGACATGCTACTGGCTTTGAGTAAAGCCAGTGTGTCTATGTATGCGGATGACTCAACACTATACATGTCAGCTACTACAGCGAGTGAAATCACTGCAACACTTAACAAAGTTAGTTTCAGAATGGGTGGCAAGGAATAAGTTAGTTCTAAATATTTCAAAAACTAAAAGCATTGTATTTGGGACAAATCATTCACTAAACCCTAAACCTCAACTAAATCTTGCAATAAATAATGTAGAAATTGAGCAAGTCGAGGTGACTAAACTGCTTGGAGTAACCCTGGATTGTAAACTGTCATGGTCAAAACATACTGATACAACAGTAGCTAAGCTGGGGAGAAGTCTGTCCATAATAAAGCGCTGCTCTGGCTTTTTAACAACACTATCAACAAGGCAGGTCCTACAGTTTTGTCGCACCTGGACTACTATTCAGTCTAGTGGACAGGTGCCACATAGAGGGACCTCGGACAATTACAATTGGCTCAGAACAGGGCAGCACGGCTGGCCCTTAAATGTACACGAAGAGCTAACAATAATATGCATGTAAATCTCTCATGGCTCAAAGTGGAGGAGAGATTGACTTCATCACTACTTGTTTTTGTAAGAAGTGTTGACATGCTGAATGCGCCGAGGTGTCTGTTTAAACTACTAGCACACAGCTCAGACACCCATGCATACCCCATAAGACATGCCACCAGAGGTCTCTTGACGATCCCCAAGTCAAGAACAGACTATGGGAGGCACACAGTACTATGTAGAGCCATGGCTAGATGGAACTCTATTCCACATCAGGTAACTGATGCAAGGAGTAGAATCAGATTTAAAAAACACCTTATGGAACAGCAGGGACTGTGAAGAAAAACACAGGCACAGACACACGCTTACACATTTACATTACATTTACATTTACATTTACATTTTAGTCATTTAGCAGACGCTCTTATCCAGAGCGACTTACAGGAGCAATTAGGGTTAAGTGCCTTGCTCAAGGGCACATTAACGTCATTTAGCAGACGCTCTTAGCCAGAGCGACTCACAAATTGGTGCGTTCACCCTATAGCCAGTGGGATAACCACTTTACACTTTACAATTGACCATCCTTCCCTCATGATAAGACACGCACTCTACACACACGTACACATGGATTTTGTATTGTAGATATGTGGTAGTAGAGTAGAGGCCTGAAGGCACACACTTAATGTGTTGTGAAAAGTCTTTTGAAATGTAATAAAATATATAACTGCCTTAATGTTTCTGGACCCCATGAAGAGTAGCTGCTGCCTTGAAATCAGCTAATGGGGATCCTTAACAAATACAAGCATGCGGCTCATATTCATAGCAAACATACAGAAAACATAAAAACAGTAGGCTAACATACTAACAACAATCATCAACAACAGAGAAATTGAGAGAGAGAGGAGGGGGAGAAGGAGAGAGAGTCAGAAACTACTGCAAAAGAAAGAGATACTGGAAGAGAGAGAGAGACAACAAAGACGGATGTCAGCTCGTAAAAAAAATAACTTTGCATCTAACGTTAGGAAGGGAAACAATATCAACTTGCTGCACTCACTCAAACGCATGGTGTAATGTGCCCACTGGGCTATTTCTCGACTTGTATGAAGTTACCTGTGTAATTCCTTCTACCCCCCAACCCTAAAAAAAAAAAAATAATAATAAAAAAAAAAATTGTAAAGTGGTTATCCCACTGGCTATAGGGTGAATGCACCAATTTGTAAGTCGCTCTGGATAAGAGCGTCTGCTAAATGACGTAAATGTAAAATGTAAATGTAATTCCCATCCCCCTTGCTGTCTTGACTAGCCTCACACACAGCCCTATATGGTGTCTAAACCCATTGACCCATTGTCATGTGCTCTCCTATAGACACCTCTCCTACAGATCCCTCCCTATATACGGTTATAAACTGGCAACCCACACACACACACACACACACACACAAACACACCTCCAGCTCCCCGTTCTCGGCGGCGTCGTGTAGCGGCGTTCCACCCCAGCTGTCGGTGATGATCTCGCCGCCGTGCAGTAGCAGCCAGCTGAGCACCTTGGCATGGCCGCGGCTGGCGGCAAAGTGCATGGCCGTGGCACCGTCACCGTCCTGGTCTGACAGGCTGATCTCTGTGAAGCTCATCTGCAACGGACAAAAGTAGAGGTTGAACAGTAGGTATCGCGAGCTGCCATTTGTTAGTTGACTTCCCTTAGATTATAGGTGTTTAATTTACATCACATTGGATGATTTTTAAGTTATTCATTTGCATTTTATTGCATGACATAAGTATTTGATACATCAGAAAAGCAGAACTTAATATTTGGTACAGAAACCTTTGTTTGCAATTACAGAGATCATACGTTTCCTGTAGATCTTGACCAGGTTTGCACACACTGCAGCAGGGATTTTGGCCCACTCCTCCATACAGACCTTCTCCAGATCCTTCAGGTTTCGGGGCTGTCGCTGGGCAATACGGACTTTCAGCTCCCTCCAAAGATTTTCTATTGGGTTCAGGTCTGGAGACTGGCTAGGCCACTCCAGGACCTTGAGATGCTTCTTACGGAGCCACTCCTTAGTTGCCCTGGCTGTGTGTTTTGGGTCATTGTCATGCTGGAAGACACAGCCACGACCCATCTTCAATGCTCTTACTGAGGGAAGGTTGTTGTTGGCCAAGATCTCGCGATACATGACCCCATCCATCCTTCCCTCAATACGGTGCAGTCGTCCTGTCCCCTTTGCAGAAAAGCATCCCCAAAGAATGATGTTTCCACCTCCATGCTTCACGGTTGGGATGGTGTTCTTGGGGTTGTACTCATCCTTCTTCTTCCTCCAAACACGGCGAGTGGAGTTTAGACCAAAAAGCTCAATTTTTGTCTCATCAGACCACATGACCTTCTCCCATTCCTCCTCTGGATCATCCAGATGGTCATTGGCAAACTTCAGACGGGCCTGGACATGCCCCTTGCTGATTGAGTGTGTGGACAGGTGTCTTTTATACAGGTAACGAGTTCAAACAGGTGCAGTTAATACAGGTAATGAGTGGAGAACAGGAGGGCTTCTTAAAGAAAAACTAACAGGTCTGTGAGAGCCGGAATTCTTACTGGTTGGTAGGTGATCAAATACTTATGTCATGCAATAAAATGCAAATTACTTACTTAAAAATCATACAATGTGATTTTATGGATGTTTGTTTTAGATTCTGTCTCTCACAGTTGAAGTGTTCCTATGATACAAATTACAGACCTCTACATGCTTTGTAAGTAGGAAAACCTGCAAAATCGGCAGTGTATCAAATACTTTTTCTCCCCACTGTACTTGACTCTAAAGAATAAATATCAGCTAAAGCCCAACACATACAAATAAACAAACTATAAAGCCCAACACATGCATACAAAATATATACAGTGCCTTCAGAAAGTATTCATGCCCCTTGACTTATTCCACATTATATTGTGTTACAGCCTGAATTCAAAATCGATTAAATTGATTTTTTCTCCTCCCCCTTCTTCGCACAATACCCCATAATGACAAAGTGAAAACATGTTTTTAGAGATTTTAACAAATGCATTGAAAATGAAATACATTCACACCCAAGTCAATACTTTGTAGAAGCACCTTTGGTAGCGATTACAGCTTTGAGTCTTTCTGGGTAAAGTCTCTAAGAGCTTTCCACACCTGGATTGTGAAACATTTGCCCATTATTATTTTCAGAATTATTCAAACTCTGTCAAATTGGTTGTTGATCATTGATAGACAACCATTTAAGTCTTGCCATAGATTTTCAAGCAGATTTAAGTCCAAACTTTAACCCGGCCACTCAGGAACATTCACGGTCGTCTTGGTAAGCAACTCGTGTAGATTTGCCCTGATATTTTAGGTTATTGTCCAGCTGAAAGGAGAACTCATCTCCCAGTGTCTGAAAAACTACCCAGTCCTTAATGATTACAAACATACCCATAACATGATGCAGCCATCACTATACTTGAAAATATGAAGAGTGGGACTCAGTGATGGGTTGTTGGATTTGCCCCAAACAATACGCTTGTATTCAGGACAAAAAGTTAATTGCTTTACCAAATTTTTTGGAGTATTACTTTAGTGCATGTTTTCAAATATTTTTATTTTGTACAGGCTTCCTTTTCACTGTCAATTAGGTTAGTATTGTGGAGTAACTACAATGTTGTTGATCCATCCTCAGTTTTCTCCTATCACATTCATTAAATTAACTGTTTTTTAGTCATCATTGGCCTCAGGGTGAAATCCCTGAGTGATTTCCTTCCTCTCCGGCAACTGACTTCGGAAGGACGCCTGTATATACCCATTTTCATCTTTTTTACTTTCTTTGATTTCAGGCCTACCTGGAAGGGGTGGGTTTTATTTGGTCTTCGGGAGGGGGGAGTGACTGACAAGCAACTCTAGTTGCTAGGGGGGGAAAGGGGTGGAAAACATGGGGGGGGCTGGATGAATGGGATGGGAGGTTGGGGGTGGAGGCCCTCTTATTTTTTTATTTTTTCCTATATGTAAAATATGATCAATACTTTCTAGTTCTGAACCTTCTGTAATGTAAAAAAAATACATAAACTACCGTTCAAAAGTTTGGGGTCACTTAGAAATGTCCTTGTTTTCGAAAGATAAGCAAATTTTTGGTCCATTAAAATAACATCAAATTGATCAGAAATACAGTGCAGACATTGTTAATGTTGTAAATGGCTATTGTAGCTGGAAACGGCTGATTTTTTATGGAATATCTACATAGGCGTACAGAGGCCCATTATCAGCAACCATCAGTCCTGTGTTCCAATGGCACGTTGTGTTTGCTAATCCAAGTTTATCATTTTAAAAAGGCTAATTGATCATTAGAAAACCCTTTTGCAATTATGTTAGCACAGCTGAAAACTGTTGTGCTGGATAAAGATGCAATACAACTGGCCTTCTTCAGACTAGGTGAGTATCTGGAGCATCAGCAATTGTGGGTTCGATTACATGCAAAAAATGGCCAGAAACAAATAACTTTCTTCTGAAACTCGTCAGTCTATTCTTGTTCTGAGAAATTAAGGCTATTCCATGCAAGAAATTGCCAAGAAGCTGAAGATCTCATACAAGAGTGTCTAGTTTGAGAAAAAAGACGCCTCAAAGGTCCTCAACTGTACAAGGATATAAACACGCAGGAAAACCTACACCCAGAGGCTGCCTTTCTGGTTGCCAGCGATTTTAATTCGATGTCACTAAGACACGTGATGCCCAACTTCCATCAATGTTTCCAACGCCACTAGGGGCAATAAAGTCCTAGACCACTGCTATTCTACCCACAAGCAAGCATACAACGCCCTCCCTCATCCGTCGACAACACTGATGCTACGGCCGAGGACAGGAATAAGTACGAGAAGTCCCGCTATGACCTCCGCAGAGTCATCAAACGAGCAAAAGGACAATATAGGAATAAGGTGGAATCATATTACACAGGCTCCGACACTCACCGCATGCGGCAGGGGCTACAGTCCATTACGGATTACAAAGGAAGAACCAACCGTGATCTGCCCAACGATGCCTCTCTACCAGACGAACTCAATGCAGTTTATGCACGCTTTCATAACATCGAGCCGGGAGTGAGCGGCATCACCGACCCCGAGGCCGACGTGAGAACGGTCTTTAATCAGGTCAACACCCGCAAGGCCGCGGGCTTCGACGGTATTCCAGGGTGCGTGCTCAGAGCGTGCGCAGAACAGCTGGCAGGCATATTCACAGTAATATTCAAACTATTCTTGTCCCAGTTTGTAATCCCCACGTTTTAAGATGACCACAATCATTCCTGTTCCTAAGATTTGCATAGCACCGCAACAGATCCATATAGGACAATCTCAATTGCTCTTCACACTGCCCTCACCGACCTAGATAAGGGGAATACCTATGTGAGAATGATGTTCATTGAATACAGCTCAGCGTTCAACACCATTGTCCCCTCGAAGCTCGTCACCAAGCTTAGGACTCTGGTGTGAACACCTGCATCTACAACTGGACTCTGGACTTCCTGACAGGCCAACCCCAGGTGGTGAGGGTAGACAACATCACCTCCACCACGCTGACCCTTAACACAGGGGCCCCACAGGTGTGTGTGCTTAGTCCCCTACTGTACTCCCTGTTCACCCACGACTGCGTGGCCACGCATGACTCCAACACCATCATCAAGTTCGCTGACAACATGATGAGTCAGCCTACAGGGAGGTTGTCAGTGACAAATCATGTCCAATCAATTGAATTTACCACAGGTGGACTCCAATCAAGTTGTAGAAACATCAAGGATGATCAATGGAAACAGGATGCACCTGAGCTCAATTTCGAGTCTCATAGCAAAGGGCCTGAATACTTTTGTATATAAGGTAACTGTTATTCATTTTTAATACATTTGCAAACATTTCTTCAAACCTGTTTTCACTTTGTCATTATGGGGTATTGTGTGTGAGGAAATGAGGAAAAAAATAATAGAATCCATTTCAGAATAAGGCTGTAACGTAATAAAATGTGAAAAAAGTTAATGGGTCTGAATACTTTCCGAATGCACTGACTCTACACACCCGCACACCCACTCATATACAAGCTGCTGCTACTCTTCATCTTATATCCTGTTGCCTTGTCCCCTTACCTCTATACATATCTACCTCCATCACTCCACTATCCCTGCACATTGTAAATATGATACTGGAACTGATTTTGACAAATATTTCCTGTATATAGTATGCTTACTTTATTGTGCATTTCATTTTCTAGTAATACGTTGTTATTGATGATTGCATGGTTAGGTTTAGAGTTTGCAAGAAAGGCATTTCACTGTACTTGTGCATGTGACATTAAAACTTGAAACTATTGCGATTATTATGGTCATATCAGGGCATTATGTTCTAGTCTCATAGTCTATTAATGAAGCTATAGGCCTATAGTTTATTATGTGTCGGTCTATGTGAGTCACATGTTAATTGCAAGAGTCATGGATTTACGTAGACCTGCAAGACTTTTTGGTCTGTAATGCGAAATCACGTGATGGTTTGCTGTGTGCGATCGATTACAGTAGGCTATGCTTAAAAAAAAAAAGTAAGAACATAAAACATTTGTTCAGGGAATTTTCTTGTAATATCAGGTAAATGTTTTTTTTGCACAGAAAGAAACATTGTATAATCATCTGCACAACTGGACAGTTTTTGTGTTTTGGGAACATATCTTTTGTGATGTCCCCACAATGTTCCTACCAGACTGTTCCCACAACCTAATGAAACATTCTTAGAACCTTTAAGAACAGACAAAATGTTTTCTGGGAATGTTCTTGCAATGTCAGGTGAATGTTTTATACAATTACGTGATAATGACAGAGAAGCCAGTGTTTGGAGGATATATTGGCATGGGTGTTGTCGAGGTGCAATTTCACCTGGCGAAGAAAATGTGCTCTCTCGTCAGGACACTGATGTTCAGAGGAACTAGCCAACAACACAGCTAACACAATCACTTCAAACTGAAGCTGGAAAGACCGCAAACTAGCTGCACTTTGTTTCATTTGACCTGTTTTCTATTGATAGTTCTTTGTATATACTGTATCCATAAAAATGACACCAGATGTACAGTTAAAGTCGGAAGTTTACATACACTTATGTTGGAGTCAATAAAACCCGTTTTTCAACCACTCCACAAATTTCTTGTTAACAAACTATAGTTTTGGCAAGTCGGTTAGAACATCTACTTTGTGCATGACACAAGTAATTTTTCCAACAACTCTTTACAGACAGATTATTTCACTGTATCACAATTCCAGTGGGTCAGAAGTTTACATACACTAAGTTGACTGTGCCTTTAAACAGCTTGGACAATTCCAGAAAATGATGTCATGGCTTTAGAAGCTTCTGATAGGCTAATTGACATTATTTGAGTCAATTGGAGGTGTACCTGTGGATGTATTTCAAGGCCTACCTTCAAACTCAGTGCCTCTTTGCTTGACATCATGAGAAAATCAAAAGAAATCAGCAAAGACCTGAGATTTCTTTTTTTTTACCTCCACAAGTCTGGTTCATCCTTCGGAGCAATTTCAAAACGCCTGAAGGTACCACGTTCATCTGTACAAACAATAGTACGCAAGTATAAACACCACGGGACCACACAGCCGTCATACCGCTCAGGAAGGAGACGTGTTCCGTCTCCTAGACATTAACATACTTTGGTGTGCAAAGTGCAAATCAATCCCAGAACAACAGCAAATTACCTTGTGAAGATGCTGGAGGAAACATGTACAAAAGTATCTATATCCACAGTAAAATGAGTCCTATATCGACATAACCTGAAAGGCCGCTCAGCAAGGAAGAAGCCACAGCTCCAAAACCGCCATAAAAAAGCCAGACTACGGTTTGCAAATGCACATGGGGACAAAGATCGTACTTTTTGGACAAATGTCCTCTGGTCTGATGAAACAAAAATAGAAGTGTTTGGCCATAATGACCATCGTTATGTTTGGAGGAAAAAGGGGGTGGCTTGCAAGCCGAAGAACACCATCCCAACCGTGAAGCACGGGGGTGGCAGCATCATGCTGTGGGGCTGCTTTGCTGCAGGAGGGACTGGCGCACTTCACAAAATAGATGGCATCATGAGGAAGGAAAATGATGTGGATATATTGAAGCAACATCAAGACATCAGTCAGGAAGTTAAAGCTTGGTCGCAAATGGGTCTTCCAAATGGACAATGACCCCAAGCATACTTCCAAAGTTGTGGCAAAATCGCTTAAGGACAACAAAGTCAAGGTATTGGAGTGGCCATCACAGCGCCCTGACCTCAATCCTATAGAAAATGTGTGGGCAGAACTGAAAAAGTGTGTGTGAGCAAGGAGGCCTTCAAACCTGACTCAGTTACACCAGCTCTGTCAGGAGGAATGGGCCAAAATTCACCCAACTTATTGTGGGAAGCTTGTGGAAGGCTACCTGAAACATTTGACCCAAGTTATACAATTTAAAGGCAATGCTACCAAATACTAATTGAGAGTATGTAAACTTCTGACACACTGGGAATGTGATGAAATAAATCATTCTCTACTATTATTTTGACATTTCACATTTTTAAAATAAAGTGGTGATCCTAACTGACCTAAGACAGGGAATTTTGACTAGGATTAAATCTCAGGAATTGTGAAAAACTGAGTTTAAATGTATTTGGCTAAGGTGTATGTAAACCTCCGACTAACTGTATGTCCTTGAACTGATTATCTTTAAAGTCGCACACAGAAGAAGTTAAGGATACATTTTAGTTGCTAATGGCAGCCTGCAGTAGCCTGGTCAGCCTTGAAGGTAGCTCAAACTGTGTTATCAAAGATTATATATTATATTGACAAGATAGCCAAGTGACCGCTCTAACTATGGAAATACATGTCCTCAATGAGTGAAGGCAAGTGAGATCAGGTGGGACCACTCTAGCCAATGAGAGGGCAGATGCGCGTGTGAACAACAGGCACAACAAATTCATTTTTCTCAAAGTTGCCGGAATGCCATGTGAATCCACTTCTATCACTACATTTGTAACAGAATAAACATTACGGAACTTCTATTCGATCAAATAAGACTCACGTAATTCAACACTCTCTCATAGACCTCCATTCAAATAAAGAGCTGGTCTCAAGCGGACAGGTTTTCGGTGGAGTAAATCCTCTCGCTTCGCCTCTTCCTCTCTGATGTTATGTATCCATTAGACGTCATCTTAATCTACTTTTTTTGGCTTGGTGGTGAGATATTATGTAGCTAAAAAGGTAATGTGTCAGTCTATTAATTATGAAAATATAAAAAAAATCACTATTACTAGGCAATTCAAAATCCAATTCACTATAATGGTAGGCTAACTGAGTATGCCGCGCTGCTCAATCAATGAACCAACAGCATCGCCTAGGCCTAAGTTCTCTCCCAGACTCATGAATAGAACGTTTGGAGCGTAGCATAAGGTAACCAGTCCATACAGGTTGCATAATAACAGTCCACACTCAAAGGCGACTGCTAGAATTTGTTTAATTTTGGAGTATAGCCTAGACCAATTATCTTAAAATATAATTTCATGTTTTCTGCCATGCGTAGGCTATGTATTGTATAACGCCACTATAATTATTTTAATTCCATATTTTTGTAATATTTTTTTCAGGCTTCGGCTCATATATAGGCCTATGCGTATGCATAAACTCTAATATGCATATAGTGTTTTGAATTAATCATCACCTTAGAAAGCAGTCCATTTTGTTGTCTTAGGCTTTGAAACAACATCCACAAGGACCATGTTTTCCACTCAGTTTCAACCGGTTGTTGAACTTCTTTCTTCAAATTGATCAATCACAGTGAGGTGAGTTTTAAAAGCATGATGCTGTTTTGATGATAAATGTTTGATGTGATTTTCGATTGCATTTGCAATGATGTCAGAGTGGTTAGAGGGACAACAGAGCACGGAGTACCAGGTCATTAGCGACCAGATGGTCGTTAGTGAGTTGGGTACTACCAACGCATGTCCAGAGTGCATAAAAGGAGATTACCATGACTCAACGGTCACGTGGATTTTGACTGCGGTCATGACTCATGACTGCCAGTGTGGCGGTAATACGGTCACCGCAACAGCCCTATGTACACCCACAGTGGATTTATTTAACGGTTGTCTAGGACCCAAATACACTATACAATAGTACAACAAATACAGTAGAAGAAATGACAAAAACAGACAGTATGAATCAGGACAATTTACCTACCAGCCAGACAATGACAGTGTTATGGCCCATTTGGGCGGCAGCATGCAGAGGTGTCATCCCGTCATTGGCTCTGATGCTCGGCTCCGCCCCGCAGTCCTTCACCAGGTATTGGACGACCTCCAGGTGACCCTCCTGGCAGGCCAGGTAGAGGGGTGTGGCACCATTCTTTGTTTGGGAATTGACAACGCTAAAAGAGGATTAACAGACCTGTATTCAACTTTATTGAATGAATTACCATGTAAAATTACATTGTGATTCTTGGGCAACATAACTACTTTGGGTGAGACAAGAAGAATGTATAAACATGTATCCGGTTGCCTACACTTGGGCAGTAATGCTATTCTAGGTATTTTTTTTGAATACCCAAACTAATCTAAATCACTGACAGGTCAACAATAACTTCATAACACCCTCGGAATGAGCTTGGTCCAAGTTGCAACCCTAAGTAGCCTTTCCATGAGGCTCCAGTCCAAGTCACCATGACTGGGGGAGGTATTCTGATTAGCAGATTGAGCCAACTACACCCCCTAGACCCAAACTCCGCCCTCCCTGTTCTCCCCGTTCCCCAAAGGCCAACGGGGTAGTGCAGAATCATTTGTCCCTCCTCCCCTGGGAAAGACCATCCAATGACAATGCCCACACTTGCGGGAGGTCAAGGAGTGAACAAGTGCTTCCCCTCTAAATCCCATAAGGCCTTGCTTTATTTGGACACTGACTGACAAGCAGGCAATGAGTCCCCTAAGAGGTTTACCGTCCCGCTGGTTCTGCTCCTCACTACCCCGGGGTTAACCAGGCAGCAGTGTGGTGACAGGCCAGAAATGGAGGGAGGGAGGAGGGACAGGGGGAGTGGGTAAGAAGGGGAGGGGTAAAGGAGGGGTGTCTCCCCTCAAACCAAACAACTCCACCCCGTTTCACCTCACCGGACAGAGACAGCATAGTTAGAACCCAAGCCAACAACTTACTCAAGGTTCCTACTAATATATATGACAATGTAGGCATTTCCTGTATCCAAAACGTAACACCTTAAGCTCCTCCTTTGTTTTGTGTCTAAAAAACGTGACAAAACCCCAAACAGTAGGTGTGACCAACAGGGCATCCTTGGGGTGCATTTGGGGTGATGTTCCAGGTCAAAACAAGCACCCCTTAAATATTTCACCACAGGAAAGGGAGCTAATCTGCAGTTCTGTCATCAGGAAGTGGGCCGACGGCTGCATTATTCAGGAGTGTAACTAAAGTGGGACGGCGCTCTCCTGCATCCTGGGGTCTGGAGAGGGAGAACATCATATGTTCATGGAAAGGGGCTGACGCTCATTTGCTAACATTCATGCAACCCCCCTCAAATACTACTGGATAGAAATTGCTATTGCTATCTATGTGCTCTTATGAGATGCCTCATGACAAGGGGGACTACTGCGTTCTAGCTTCTACAGACTCCTATAAAGGAAGTGCTTTTGGAGTACAGGTGTAGATTTCAACAAAGGGCTTGTCCTCGTGCAAGGGTAGAAATACAAAGTGCGATAACAGATTATACCCCGTCCCACAAAAACGCACACACCCAACAAATTTTTTTTTTTTCAAGCTGTCATGTTTGTATGCAATTAGTCAACTTGAAATTGCCTCCACTATTACTGGATGTACAGTGTACAAGACACACCCTTCTCCCGTCCCCCATGTTAAGTGTAAGGCCAATCTTATCATTATTTCTCACACACCAGGTTGATCTGTGCGAGAAAGATCGCTTTATATATTTTCATGCTAATGAAAAAAATCACTTACATTTTTGACAGTCAATTATTTAGGTGCTACCATTTCGGTTTTCTAGCTTGCTGTGGCCTGCACCCTCAGTCTCAACAGGTACAGTTGCGGCCAAATATATTCACACCCGTGTACTTTTCGTAAATCATTCCCTATTTCTTCTCAAATAAGATGAATAAAAAAACTAAAAAAAACTTTGTCTTCACACCTTGTTAATTGATTTTCAACATATCAGAACCTATTTTATTTTTGTAACCTTAAGTTTCAATTTTTTTGGAATGGACAAAATTATTGGCACCCTGGAGTTAGTATTTGTATTTATTAAGGATCCCCATTACAATTCCTGGGGTCCAGCAACATTAAGGCAGTTACATACAATTTAAAATATGACATTACATTTCATAAAACCTTTTACAACACAGGCCACTACTCTACTATCACAAATCCATGTGTACGTGTGTGTAGAGTGCGTGTCTTATGTGCATCTGTAAGCGTGTCTGTGTGTCTCTCTTCATATTCCCCGCTGTTCAATAAGGTGTATTTTTATCAGTTTTTTAAATCTGATTCTGCTTGCATCAGTTACCTGATGTGGAATAGAGTTCCATGTAGACATGGCTCTACGTAGTACTGTGCGCCTCCCACAGTCTGTTCTGGACTGGGGATTGTGAAGAGACCTCTGGTGGCATGTCTTGTGGGGTATGCATGGGTGTCCGAGCTGTGTGCTAGTATTTTAAAAACAGACAGCTCAGTGCATTCAGCATGTCAACAGTTCTTACAAAAACAGGTAGTGATTAAGTCAATCTCTCCTCCACTTTGAGCCATGAGATATTTCATGTCAGCTCTTTGTTTACATTTAAGGGCCAGCCATGCTGCCCTGTTCTGAGCCAATTGTAATTTTTAGAGGTCCCTCTTTTTGACACCTGACCACACGACTGAACAGTAGTCCAGGTGCGACAAAACTAGGGCCTGTAGGACCTGCCTTGTTGTTAGTGTTGTTAAAAAGGCAGAGAAGAGCTTTATTATGGACAGACTTCTCCCCATCTTAGCTACTGCTGAATCAACATGTTTTAACCATGTCAGTTTTACAATCCAGGGGTACTCCAAGCAGATTAGTCACCTCAACTTGCTAAATTTCCACATTATTTATTACAAGATTTAGTTGAGGTTTAAGGTTTAGTGAATTATTTGTCCCAAATACAATGCTTTTAGTTTTTGAAATATTTAGAACTTATTCCTTGCCACCCATTCTGAAACTGCAGCTCTTTGGTTAAGGGTTGCAGTGATTTCACTCGCTGTAGTAGCTGACGTGTATAGTGTTGAGTCATCAGCATACATAGACACACTGGCTTTGGCATGTCATTAGTAAAGATATAGAAAAAAAAAAGGTTATTGACAACTGCCCTGGGGAATTCCTGATTCTACCTGGATTATGTTGGAGAGGCTTCCATTAAAAAACACCCTCTGTGTTCTGTTAAACAGGTAACTCTTTATCCACAATATAGCAGGGGGTGTAAAGCCATAACACATATGTTTTTCCAGCAGCAGACTATGATCGATAATGTCAAAAGCCGCACTGAAGTCTAACAAAACAGCTCCCACAATCTTTTATGATCAATTTCTCTCAACCAATCAGTAATTTGTGAAAGTGCCATGCTTGGTTAATGTCCTTCCCTATAAGTGTGCTGAAAGTCTATTGTATAGCATTGTATCTGGTCAAACACAATTTTTTCCAAAAGTTTACTAAGAGTTGGTAACAGGCTGATTGGTTGGCTATTTGAGCAAGTAAAAGGGGTCTTTACTATTCTTGGGTAGCGGAATTACTTTTGCTTCCCTCCAGGCCTGAGGGCACACGCTTTCTAGTATCAAATCAAATTGTATGTCACATGCGCCGAATACAACAGGTGTAGACCTTACAGTGAAATGCTTACTTACAAGCCCTTAACCAACAATGCAGTTAAGAAAGAATACCCCCCCCAAAAATCTAAAATATATAATATAAAATACGAATTAAAAGTTACAAATAATTAAAGAACAGCAGTAAAAATAACAATAGCGAGGTTATATAAACTGCTCAAAAAAATAAAGGGAACGCTAAAATAACACATCCTAGATCTGAATGAATGAAATAATCTTATTAAATACTTTTTTCTTTACATAGTTGAATGTGCTGACAACAAAAATCACACAAAAGTTATCAATGGAAATCAAATTTATCAACCCATGGAGGTCTGGATTTGGAGTCACCGTCAAAATTAAGGTGGAAACACTACAGGCTGATCCAACTGATGTAATGTCCTTAAAACAAGTCAAAATGAGGCTCAGTAGTGTGTGTGGCCTCCACGTGCCTGTATGACCTCCCTACAACGCCTGGGCATGCTCCTGATAAGGTGGCGGATGGTTTCCTGAGGGATCTCCTCCCAGACCTGGACTAAAGCATCCGCCAACTCCTGGACAGTCTGTGGTGCAACGTGGCGTTGGTGGATGGAGCGAGACATGATGTCCCAGATGTGCTCAATTGGATTCAGGTCTGGGGAACGGGCGGGCCAGTCCATAGCATCAATGCCTTCCTCTTGCAGGAACTGCTGACACACTCCAGCCACATGAGGTCTAGCATTGTCTTGCATTAGGAGGAACCCAGGGCCAACCGCACCAGCATATGGTCTCACAAGGGGTCTGATGATCTCATCTCGGTACCTAATGGCAGTCAGGCTACCTCAGGCGAGCACATGGAGGGCTGTGCGGCCCCCAAATAAATGCCACCCCACACCATGACTGACCCACCGCCAAACCGGTCATGCTGGAGGATGTTGCAGGCAGCAGAACGTTCTCCACACCGTCTCCAGACTCTGTCACGTCTATCACGTGCTCAGTGTGAACCTGCTTTGATCTGTGAAGAGCACAGGGCGCCAGTGGCGAATTTACCTATCTTGGTGTTCTCTGGCAAATGCCAAATGTCCTGCACGGTGTTGGGCTGTAAGCACAAACCCCACCTGTGGACGTCGGGCCCTCATACCACCCTCATGGAGTCTGTTTCTGACCGTTTGAGCAGACACATGCACATTTGTGGCCTGCTGGAGGTCATTTTGCAGGGCTCTGGCAGTGCTCCTCCTGCTCCTCCTTGCACAAAGGCGGAGGTTGCAGTCCTGCTGCTGGGTTGTTGCCCTCCTACGGCCTCCTCCACGTCTCCTGATGTAGCGCCTCCATGCTCTGGACACTACGCTGAAAGACACAGCAAACCTTCTTGCCACAGCTCGCATTGATGTGCCATCCTGGATGAGCTGCACTACCTGAGCCACTTGTGTGGGTTGTAGACTCCGTCTCATGCTACCACTAGAGTGAAAGCACTCAAAAGTGACCAAAACATCAGCCAGGAAGCATATGAGCTGAGAAGTGGTCTGTGGTCACCACCTGCAAAACCAGTCCTTTATTGG